TTTTTTTTATCTCTGTTTTAAGTACATTTTATACTACTGTATTTTTATTGTAAACTGCTCAAACTCATTTAGGTGAGATGGTTGATGTAGAAATTTGTTAAAGAAATATTTAGGAATTTAGTGTTTAGGTAATCAGATTATTGCTACTGATTTGTAGAAATATGTTATGATTCTTAAAAATATTCTTAATTTTAAAACCCAAGGAATATGGATTAGTATTTATGTTAAATCTAAAACTATATGATTACTGTTTAATTATTTTACTAGTTTACTTGTTAATCCAATAATAGGTTGTTTTTTTTTTGCAAAATGTTGAATTAATTTGATTTAAATTAAGGAGCTTCTGATTTAATAGTTTTCATTACCCAATTTAACAAACAAATCTATAAAAGTTATGTTAATTTTGGTATGTAAATACCAGAAATTTTTCTAACCAAATGATCAGAATATAATTGATAGAAATAAATTAATAACTCATGCTTACTATATTTGTATATGTGGTATAACACTTGAAAATTATTTATGTTGAATGTATTTCAGATATTACAAATCAGTAGCATGCTTTTTTCTTATTTAATTCATGTCAACAAAAACTACCACAAATTGTGTGTTTATTAATTTAACATGCTTGAAAAGTTGTGAACATAAACACATACATATTGAGGATATCACCTAAAAAGTAATATTTAGTGTTTTCCCTAGATTGACAATATTAAGCTTGCGCAATTTGAATATAATAGTATTCATGTATTATAATAATTATTTTGAAAAAAAAAATGGTTTCGTAAACAGATCTTTTGAATACAGTAATAGAAAGCTTTGTATTTTACTGTCTTCTTTTGGTCTTTTAGTGCCCAAGGAACATTATCCTGTTTTTGAAGTTAGTAGCGTATCTAATTGTGAACGAAATAATTTTCTCTTTATATTAGAACTCATTTAAGAAATTTAGAAGGGAATCACTACTTTTTTGGAAAAATGTTATCGTTCTTCTCCAAGCAAAGAGGGAGTTGTCACTTTTGTTACAATTATATACTTTTCCTACACCGATATTTGTTTGCTTTGTCACAGGTCCACCATAGATGGTTAAAAAAAAAATCCTTCTTTACATTTACATTTCCACATACATTTGATGTACCTTTTAATACATTTTTGACAATTTATCCAGTGTTAGATATCAACTATACATAATTTCATAATTTTTTCTTTTAAATTATAATTTAATGTAAAATTAAAACCCTTCGTCCACATTTCCCCCCGCCTGTTGTTCAAGTATTATAAGCAAAATTCTTTGCTCATTGGATCATACAATGCTTCATATACTCATTCTCCAAATGCAATTTTAATATCAATTTATAAAACTTAGCAATAATGTGTTCATCATTACCACAGAATAGAGTTTCCAGTTCATTTTTTGCAAAGTCAAATCCATAAGTTTTTGTATCCAATTTAAACCTTTCTTTCAATTGTAAATATATAAACCATTGAAAGACATGTCCTTTAAATTACAACTCATCTTTGGATTTGGGGGTAGGTTCACCATAATTAAAAAGTATTATTTGACCATAAGTCCACCAGTCTGGCCTCACCACCATTTCTTTTCTAAATAAAGCTTCCAATGAAGCAAGGATCCCCAATCCCCAATCCGTGAACTGGCACTGGTCTATGGCATGCCAGCCACCAGGCCCTGCAAACAAGCAAAGCCCCATCTGCAGCATGCAAAACCACGCCTCTTCTGGTCCGCGGAAAAACTTCTGTCCACAGAACTGGTCCCTGGTCCCCAAAAGGTTGGGGGCCACTCTCCTAAAGAATCATCTTTGTGGAGAACTTTAGATTTATTTCAAACCCTTAGGATAATAAAGTGGTTGTTGAAATCAACATTTATGTTAACCTTATCATACCATAAGTAGGTGTGCCATCCAAATCTAATTCATGGCCCACCAGATCAAGTAGCCTCTTGTTTTGGAGAGTCATCTACTCTTTAAACCAGACCAAATAGAAAGCATCAAAGTACAATTTCAAATGTGGCAAAACCAAACCTCTTTCTTTAGCTTGTACTAATTTATATATAATCTTGGCTATAAATCGGATGTTTTATAGTTAATAAAAACTAATTTTCGCTGAATGAAATATAACATGGTCCTGCACAAGTCTTTCAATTACACATGCTTTGATGCACATAGGAGGGCTTATGAAACATTTTATAAAATTAATGAAGCAGCCACATTTTTTCCTAGGCTGGCAAGGGTGCTTTAAAAGCTACTCCAATCTGTTTAATATGTCTGCACTAGTTCAGGACACCAGCTTGATGAATATTGCTTTATGTTTTGTGGTAATATTTTTACATGTTTGTTTTTTCCAGACAATCATCCAGATACCCTGCATGAACGGTGGATTTTGCTCTATCCAAATTGTTGCAAAATTTCATTTCATATCTTCTCAAGTGATAGAAAAAGCAAATCTTCTTAATAATGGAAGAAGGCAAGATTCCAAAAAGTGGAAATCATGACATAAGAAAATCCACCCGTATTGTGTGTGAAGAGAGCAAGACTGCCAGAGCTGTAACCAATCAAAATTATAAAACTAACAGAAATGACAAGTCTGTAAAAGAAGTTGGGAAAAGTTCTACAAATGGTAACAGTTTCAAAAAGATAAAGCAAAATGATGTTTGTCCTGAAAAGTCAGGAGAAAATAAATCACGTAAGACAAATAGTTGCATTCCTGGATATAAAGACATGGGATCAGGTCTTCAGGATCAGAATCATAGCAAAGGAAAAAGATTACCAAATGTATCAACAGCAGTAGAAAATCAGAAAGCGTTAAAAGTTCAGCCTGCACATGAAAGCCTTCCAACTTCTCATATTTTAGAAAATGGTGCCAGTACAGAAATCTTACCAACTGCCCAGAGAGGGACTCCTGAATTGGAAAATCCACTAAAAGAGGATACTTCCAAAATAAATGTTAATTGGTGTAATGACTCAGAGAAAAGTGATTTGGATTTAAGATCAGTAGAACAAACATCTGAAGATTACTGTAAGTGTGCATTCAGAAATTAAAGCCTTTCCTTGTGTTACTTATGTATATGTTATTAAGTGGAACAAATTGGTATCTTTGGGAAAGTTTAAAAAATAATAGTTTTTTGTAGGACTTTATAGAAATCTTTGTAATTCTAGTTGCAAATACTCTCTGGCATTTTGCTATATAAAATGCTATAATAATTTCTTAATTTAAGCACAACTATTTTTTGTAATTTTTAGCTTGAGTTTTTTCTCCATGCTATGTTGCTTTTCTGCTTGAAAGGAATTTTCAGAAAGCTATAGAGACATAATTTAAATGCAGTTATCTTCTATAATCTAAGTGAAGAATGACCCTTTTAGAATGCCATCAAACATTGTATGAATGAAAGTTCATTCATATAATAAAACCACCTCTCTCCTTCATGAAGGATCTGCATAGTAATACAAAGGTTTTCTACATGCTGTCATGCAAAAGTAGGCAGGACTTCATTTGGCTGCCTTAATAAAATCTGTATAGCACTACAGAACCTTCTGAATGCTGCAGGATTGTGCAGATACTTGTTAAGTTAGCAAAACAAAGCATTTTATCTCTGGGCCACATGGCAGTAATTAGGACAAAATGGTGATCGCTTCTGAAACTGCCATTTGGCCGCACAAAAAAGCAATCAGTTCCAGTGCTTTGGAAAGTCTTACAGCTCTTTAAATGCAAGGAGGAGGTTGTTTGGTGTGGTGGGATGGAAATCAGACCTAAGACCTGGGAACGCCTGGTAGGAGTGGGAAAAGGCCTGGGATCACAAGAGATAGGAAGTGGAGCATAAGGCATCTTGGGAGTGGGGGAAGGCCCCGGAAGGGGCAGAACAGGTAGGCCTCGGCCGCCCCTGGGGCACTTCATTCTTCTGGACATTGCTTTAACAATTCACTGGGGAGAGAAGGAATGGGGGGTCATTAGGTGAGACACTTCACCTAATGACCATTGTGGCATATGACTGTTGTTGGAAGGCTCCATTCCGGTTGTATCTCGAGGACTATCTGTATCATATTACTCTAAATGAGATAAAGATAACTGCCCTCTGCACCATAGCAGCCATGGATTTGGTATATACCAAAGGAGCTGTGATGCAGTGGTTAGAATGCAGTATTGCAGGTTAACTGCCTATAGGCAAGAGTTCAATTCTGACCAACTCAAGGTTGACTCAGCCTTCCATCCTTCTATAGTTGGTAAAATGAAGAACCAGATTGTTGGGGATATAGTGCTGGCATTTGTAAACCGCTCAGTGTGCTGTAAAACACCATGGAGCGGTTTAAATAAGTCTTAAGAGCTGCTACATACAAATCCACTTGTTTAGTGATCCCAATTGGGACCAGCAATTCAGTCATTTTGAGAAGTGGTTGCTAATGAAATTGCTACTGTGGTTATGATATTACTTCAATTTTCCTTTATAGTAAATGCAAGGATTAGTTGTAGGGTTATTTTAAAAAAAAAAAAAAAAACAAATTTTATTAATTTTTAAAGACAAACAAATCATCATTAACCATTACATACTTAAATTTTTTTCCATTATAAATTTTACAAGTCAAATAAAACCTTATTTTATACAATATAATTCTATTTTAACTCTTATTCAATTTCACTATTATTATTTCATCTATTTCTTTCTGACTTGGTTACCATTATTCTCATTCTATATTTCTGCAAGGTTTTATTAATTCTCCCAGAAACATAAGCACACAACACACAAACATATAAAAAATCTTTTAGGAAAGTAACTTGGCCCCAGGTATCTCTCTCTACATGGACTTCAATTATATTCATGCTCATCTTACATGTCATTACCTATTTTATTTACCATTCTATGTCTTCTATATTAGCTTCTCCACACATTTCACTCTTCTTAATTCTATCTTAATTAATCCATCTTAATTTGAGTCATTATATTTGTATCTTTTGTCCATTCTTTATTATCCCTTTGTCTCATTCCTTATAATAATAATAAAAAAAAGAATTTCTCCTGAAATCACTAATCAGAGTATGATGCCTTTCTATCTTCCCCCTAAATTAATTAGATTAACATTTAAAATAACACCTAATACCCAATCTGATTCTGCTTGGTACATTCTATCTACTATTTTTTTTAAAAAAATAAAAGAAAAGTAATAAATCCAAAATGATTAAATACATAGTTAAATAATAGATCTAAATATTGAATCTTATAACATTCCCATTGCCTTTTCCAAAGACAAATGCTACAATAATAATTTTATAATAACATCAATACCATAGTCATATTAAACTCTTTAATTAAAACTCAATATTCTAAACATTCCCTTTAATATTTTATTAAATTTTAAAATCAATCATTACTAAACATTTCAACATTTTAATCTCTTATTAACTCTTAAACCATTCTAATTTTCTATTTCTAATACAAATGCTACAATACCATCTTATGTACCTTGCAAAAAATTTTTTAAAAGAAATTATACTTTACCCTTTGTCCCTAAAAAAGATTCCTCTTTTCCCATCTGATTTCAAAACTTTGTGGCTTTTCTCCACCTTTTCCCTTCCTTTCTTCCCCCCCCCCCCCTTCCTTCCCCCCCCCCCCCCCTTCTTCTAGCCTCTGCCTTACTGGCTTCCCTTCTCTGTTGTGTTCCTTTTTCCTTTTATCATTATATTGATTTTGCACCTTATTTTTCCCTTTCTTGAGTGTTTTTTTGAATCTTAAGTCCTTCATTTTCCTTCCTTTCTTTCTTCCTTCTTTCTTAGTTAAATTTTGAAATTCATTAAAGATGGCTTCTTCTTCTCCTTCTTCTTCTTCTGCTGCCTCCATCTGTTGTAATGTTTGTTGATAGTTAGCAAGCGCCATTTCTAAAAAAAGGAAGGCTTCTTTCACACCATCTTTGCCATTTTTTTTGTTTGCTCATATTCTTTTCTCAGTTCCTCAGCAGAAAAAGCCATTATAAATCTTTTCTTTTCTTTTTTTTCCTCCTCTTTCTTCTTGCAACAACCAAGATATTTCAAAAAAAATAGAACAATCCCAAAGTCATCAATCAATCCAAGCCAAGACAAAGTTCTCACTTTCTCTTCCTGGGGTAATATCAATCAAAAAAAAGAAAGTCCAAATCTGTATCTTAAAGCCTTATTGCAATATATTTCAGTCTTCAAATCCTTAAGGCATCTCCTCCAACAAAATCTTAACATATAAATATATTTTTAGTCCTCTCCCTTCCCACTTATCACATAAAGCCAGTTTTTACCTGAAAAAGACAGGTTTCTTAGTATCCACTTGTTGATTCCGTAGGGAAGGAGAGTAAACTTTCCTTTCAGCACCTCAAAATTGCCGCTTATTTTCTCTTCTGGAAGGTATCATTCAAAAAGCCATAATTTCCAGGAATTATGTTAAATATGTCTTAGAGTCCTGGGAACCAAGAAAAACTTTCACTTTTCAAAGGCTTTCTCCTCTTCCTCCTGCGCATTCTTACCCAGCTGCCGGCTTCTTTGTGGCGGCCATTACAGACCGCCGCTGCACCGTCTTGGGAAAAGGGGGTTCTGCCGGCCGGGAAGGGGGTCTGCAACACCCCCAAACCCCTCTCCGGATCCCCCCTATCTTCAGCCACCCCTGCAGGGCAGCCTTAGCTCCAAACCCATCCGGATCGGAGCACCAAAAACGGCTAGCGCAGCAGGGATCGCGCAGTATCGCGAATCCCTGCCGCTTGCGAAGCCGACAAACCGGAAGTCCCCAGTTGTAGGGTTATTTTTATATAACCATGGTAATAGTGAATGGTTGCTAAACAAGGCAGTTTCTAAGAGGACTGTGTTTCTGTGTCTATGTGTGTATCTGTATGTGTATCTGTATGTTTCTCCTAATTTCTCAAGACATTCATCAAGAGATTTTCAGTAATGTTTACAATTGTCTTACATTTGATCCATGTGAATAAAAAAGAGAATTAACAAATAAAACTTGTTATCTAAATTTAAAATTTTTATTATAAGCATTTTCAAACTTAGTTTCCACAATTTCAAAAAAAGGATATGTGTGTACATCCCATGGTTTCTTAATTTAGGTTTATGGTAGTTATGAAAAATGTATTAAACATTCTTTTCATCCCTCTCCTACAAGGTAAAATAAAAAATTCTGACTCTGCTAAAGAAAGTAAGCCAGAAACTGATTATTTAGAAAATGTTGCTGTCATGGATGAATCAACACTGATGAAAGAAGAGCAGTTGGGCTTGAAACAAGCCGAAGAACGACTGGAAAGAGATTATATTATTCGCTTGGAAAAAGTAAGTACATAATTTAATTTGTGTATATGTTTGCATGCTAGAATGGAAATCTAACTTAAAAGAAAAATTTAATTAAAGGATTTGTCTTTAAATTTTATAGTATGAGGAAGTTTACCTAAATTTAAAAAATCTTCTAATTTTGGATTAGAAGAATTCTGGATTTCTTTTTAGCATGGCAGGAAACATACTTCTGAATCTGAGCTTCTTCGGCGACAGACAGAAATCTGCGATTGTGCGCGGTTTCGGTCTGGGCTCGCCGCTGGAGCGCCCCCGAGCCAGCTGGTTTCGGGGCTAAGCCACCCCGTAGAGGTGGTGAAGAGAGGGGAGACTGCCAGCAGGGTTGAGGAGAGCCGCATCTCTCCTCCTCAGCTGGCCATTACTCCCTTTCCCAAAGGCGGTTGCAGCGGTGGTCAGAAATGGCCACCGCAAAAAAGAACTCAACCGGAAAAGAATATGCAGGAGGAAGATAAGAAGTGAAAGTTCTGGTTGACCAGGTTAAATTGTAAAAGCAACAACTAAGGTACCCTGGAATTTAAACTAAAAAAAAAGTAACATTGTTCCCAAAGAAGATTCTGAAGCAGCGAAGGAAAGTGAAAAGGGAAAGGTTTGGTGTTTTTTTTTCTTCTCTCCCTTTCCCTATACTGACAGCTAAGAGACTTAAATAAGAAATCGGGGGGAAAATCCGCTTTGACATCAACAGGCAATTAAGCTGAAAATAAAATAAAATGTCAAAGGGATAATAAAGATTTCTGGATACTAAAAAGTTTTTATAAGCAGGAAAGGAGAGAAAAAGAATAAAAGGGCAGGATCTGGAAAAAAGGGAGGAGACTGCCTGGAATTAGAAGGAATTTACAGTAAAACTTCAACAAGACTTCTAAAAGATACATTTTAATTGAAACTTGGCAACTAAATAGTAGAACCCCAGGAAGAGAAAGTGAAAAAAAAGAGCAAAAAAGAAACAGCTCGTGTGTATTTGGACTACTTGGTGATCTTTGGATTCTTGATTATTGCATTTGAATGACTAAAATCAATCGGGTGGTTGTTTAAATTTTTTTAAAATGGCACCACTTTTGGATGAATTGAAAATGGAACTTAAAAAGTACAAAGAAGATGCACAAGAAGGGAGAGGTTCTTTTGGCTTCGTATTTCAATTCTTAGAAATGGAGATTTGGAACTATGAGAAACAACAAGAAACGCCTGCAAAAAAGAAGACTGGGACAAAGAAGAAGGAATTATATACATTTCTTGATTTGTAGTAAACACTGAAGAAGCCTATTCATAGTTGATGATAAGCCATTAATGTATGTGCTTAATTACACTTTATGTATAGTTTTGTTTTAGTATAGTATTTATTATAGTATTTAGGGTGACTTTTGCATCTCAGCAGGGGTGGGATTCAACCGGCGTTACTACCGGTTCAGTGATTACATTTACAAACGTCTATGGTGAATTGGGACCGTCTTTGTGTACTGTACTCTTCTGGGGCAAATGTACTTAGAATCATTTTATTGTTATGATGGGGGGGGGACAGCATAATTAAGTGGCTGCTGAATCTTAACTATGTGGTTTTTTCCACAGCGCACTCCAGAGTACTCTAATTGCCAGTACCTATGTAAGTTATGCTTAGTTCACATTGAAAATATCCAGGGAGCTCATAAACATATTAAAGAAAAACGCCATAAAAAGAATATCATGGTAAGTGCTAGAATAATTTTTGAAATTTTGCTTTAAAGTTTAGTCTTGGTTCAAAATGCATGATACAGTTTTTAAACATTGGTTAATAGCAACCAAGATGAATAGGCATAGGGTAATACTTGTAAGAACTTTGTTGATGGTGAAAAAAAATCCAACTGTTATTGAGCTATTTGGTGTGTAACAAAAATGGCAGAGAAAGTCATGTGGGCTAGTATGGAGTTTTTCAGTCTAGACATTTTGTACTTATAAGCCAAAGAATAGAAGTGCAGTTCCTAAGGTTACCATGGTATTTGGGAAAGAACTGTCTCATAGATATGTGAACCGGAATAGCTTAGGGGTTTTGTTATTATATGTAACCTGCTGCCTCTTTGCCTAAGCTGTGCTGGTCTCAGAATTGATGTTGGAGATTCCTAGGGTTACAGTGTGGGGGAATTTCATTGTCTCTTTGGGGCTGTTTTGTCTAGAGTGGTTTCATAGCAGCCCTGACAACTATGGGCCTATTCCTGTTGTCACAGCACAAACTCAATTTAATATTTTACTGTGATTAGAAGTTCGTTCTGTGGGTGAGAATAAGTCAGATTTATTCAACCTTAATCATACTGCTAAGGTTGAATATGTAGCTGTATCCCATCTATATAGGTAGTGGACCTGTTAGCATGGTTTACCCCAAAATAGTATTTTGATCCAATTTGATTTAGTTGGATTGCAAAAAGTCTTGGAGTTTCTTTTACCAGTGCTTTTGTTAATGCCCCTATTGGTTCTTCGGAAAGGAACCTGTTGGAGTAGTTGACACAGTTTGCCAAAGGTAGTTTGTTACCTGCTTTGACCTTGTAGTAAACCTAGATGAAGTGTGGTTGAAAGAACAAGGTAGATGGGTGGAGCGCAGATGGAGGAGAGGACCTGACTTAAATATCATAAGACAATTTGAAAGTTTATTTTTAAGTGATTCATGCACAAAGAAACAATTTTTCTGTATATACTGTATTGAGAAGCTTACAACCTATGAGTTGAAGTGACTTGACAGCCTTCCCTCCTCTCCTAGTTCTAATCAGAACTCTCTAAGCTTGTGGAAACACTTTCAGTTTTGGGTTTTTTTTACAAATAAAATCTCTTGTAGAGCATAATTGATGCAATGCTGAGATTACCTTTTACAATTAATTGTATTATTAGAGTGGATCGTTTTCATAATACCTGAGGAAATGGACAGGCTGCTTTGAACAATATATTTCATCACATACTCTTCCTGTCCAATTTTGTTTACAATTTCTGGTCTAGAGCTTTTGAGAGACACCTGAGTTATCTTCATAAATGCCCCTCAGAGGGAAGGGAGGCAAAAATGTTTCCTTTGCTAAAGATAACAGTGGTTAGATATTGTTTTAAGAACCGGGATCTTAAGATGGGCAATATAATGCAGTCTCTTAACTTTCCATGATTATGAGGTATTGAGTAGGTGGTGTTTTCTCAACTGCAGGGAGCAGATTATCTAACCATTTCAAACTTGCTTCAGGACTGGCTACAGGCTTGAGACTTCTGTGGTTGGCTTGTTACAATTTTTTCCCTGTCTTGCTCATGTTTCACTCATTGGCCATAAGGACACAAATACCAACCTGTCTCTCTTGCTGTTCTTACTCTAAATGTTTAATAGATTAATCTTAACTCTTGCTCTAATACATTTTTGAATAATTAAACTGATATTTGGAGGATTTTTCTGTTAAAAAGTTCATATCATTACTTTTTATCGTTTTTCATTAGGAAAAGCAAGAAGAAAATGAGCTCCGTGCCCTCCCTTCCCCTTCCCCTGCACAAGTTGCTGCTTTGAATTTTATGCTGATGGAGGCAGCAAAAGAAAAAGGAATATCTGATGATGATTTCAAAGTCCGCCAAGAAATTGTATATGATATGGAAAAGATTATTCAGCAATCCTTACCAGGTAACTTCTTGGTATCATCTAAATGCAAACCAGGTCCAATTGTGATTATATTTTTTGAGATTATTGTGGTCAGCTAAGTGCTGCCACCTAGCAGGGTATTTTAGAATTAGAATAGCAAAATTAAGATATCGTATTTTTCGGTGTAGAAGACACCCCCCCCTCCCCAAAGTGGGTAGAAATGTCTGTGCATCTTATACAGCAAATGTTGCCGAAGCCCCATCCACCCGCTGGCCCCCACCCTTTGGTCTCTGCCTCCCAGCAATTTGCCTCCTTTCAGCAAGTTTCAGCACAGCCTGATTAGCACAAGCAGCTAATTGTCGGTTGGATTGACCTCCTGATGATCAGCTGTTACAGGCTGTAGGGATCACTATCGCTTATTGCCACCTCCGTGCACCCCATTTTCGGTCTCTGCATCCCATTTCTGGCCTCCGCGAGCACAGAGGCCAAAACCGGGAAGCCGAAAATGGGGGGTGCGGAGGTGGCAATAAGCGATGGTAGTCCCTGCAGCCTGAAACAGCTGATCATCGGGAGGCCGATCCAACCGACAATTAGTTGCTTGTGCTAATCAGGCTGTGCTGAAGCTGACAAGGCTGTTTACTGCAAGGAGGCAAATTGCTGGGAGGCAGAGGCAGGTTTTTTTTTCCCCTCCCCAAAAGCTAGGTGTGCCTTATACTTCGGAGGGTCTTATAGTCTGAAAAATACAGTAATTGCTTATACAGATAGTCTTCGACTTACAACTACTGTGTTTCTCACAAAATAAGGCCGGGCCGATCGAAGTGGCTGGTGACTGCTCCTGGGGAGCTTCCATCGCCCGAAAGACACTGCCTCATGGCGAGGGTAGTGTGCGTGGACGCTCCTGTCAGGAGTGCCCCGCGGGCAGCCACGCCTCGCCCCGAAGCGGCTGGTGGCTCTGCCTTTCATCGGCCGATAGAAGCGGCCTCGTGGCAAGGGGAGTGTGCGTGAGTGCTCTCCCTGAGGCCGCTTCTACCGGCCGATCGAAGTGGCTGGTGACTGCCCTTGGGGAGCTTCCATCGCCTGAAAGACACTGCCTCATAGTGAGGGTATGTGGGCAGCCACGCCTCATCCCGAAGCGGCTGGTGATTCTGCCTTTGGGGAGCTATCATCGGCCGATAGAAATGGCCTCGTGGCGAGGGGAGTGTGTGTGGGTGCTCGCCCGAGGCCGCTTCTACCGGCCGATCGAAGCGGCTGGTGACTCTGCCTTCGGGGAGCTTCTATCGATGTTCTATTGGTAGTAGATTGGGGTATTCTAGCCTAGGCTACCTGCAGGGCGCTCCTAAAGGCAAGTTTTCTTCTCACCCCCCACCCTTCCCCCCCATTTCTCTTCACCTCGTATAGTTCTAACAAACGATGTGAGAAATGGCGGGGAAACGCATGGTTTAAATAGGCCTAAATTTTGGGGGCAGGGCTTAATTTCATCTCATGCCTTCCTATTGGTGGAGGCCATATTGTTGGAGAAACACGGTACAATTGACCCAAAAATTCTGTCACTAAGTGAGACATCTGTTAAATGAGTTTTGCCCCATTGTACAATCTTTTTGGCCACAGTTGTTAAGTGAATCACTTCAGTTATTAAGTTAGTAACATGATTGTCAGTGAATCTGGCTTTCCCATTGACTTTGCTTCTCAGAAGGTTCAAAAGATGATTTCAGGACACTGGTACACTGCAACTGTCATAAATATGAGTCAATTATCAAGGATCTGAATATTGATCACATGACCATGGACATGCTGCAATGCTCATAAAGGTGAAAACTGGTCATAAATCACTTCTTCAGTACCATTGTAACTTTGAACAGTCACTAAATGAACTTTTGTAAGTCTAGGACTACCTGTAACAGAAAACTATCAAAAAAGCATTGATTATCAAATGGTCACTAAAAATACAATTAAACAGTTTTAATTTCTGTTGTTTGTGCTTAATAACAGTGATTTTATAAAATGACAGTTTATTGTGTGCATTGAGTTTCTGATTCCAAATATTGAAGCAGTCTTTCCTAAAGAAGCAAAAGATACAACTTTTTCATTCTAATTGTATTTTGCTCTATTTACATAAAAAGAAAATAGGACATGGGAGAATATCTTTGTTCATTTACTAAAAATATAGTAATAGAAGATGTTGAAGTGGTGCAAATATGAAGGCAAGTGGGTGAAATTATTGTTGCTTCCAGGACAGAAACTCTGCATACGAATGACAACGTTTGCAGTTTTGTGTTGTGTGCCAGGTGTGCCCATTCTTGTACTGAGAAGTTCTGTTCATAGTCACTCATGCTTTAGTCGCTTCCCCTCAAGTGGACTACAATTTTTATAGCAATAACATGAGGCAGGTATGGCGAGGGATTCAGCAAATTACCAGCTATCAACTGACCAATGTCATCCCTGCTGAGGGGGATGCTTCATTGGCAGAGGAACTGAATCATTTCTTTGCTCATTTTGAAGTGGAGACATCAGAGACAGCTAAAATATAGCCACCAGCCAATTGTAGCCCCACAGAAAGACTGCAGGTCCTGATAGTATCTCTGGCTGAGTGCTTTTTAAGACTGTGCTGATCAATTGGCTGGAGTCCAGACATGATATTCTTCCGATTAAAATCGGAATTCCGATTTTTTTGGGAATCGCCCCCCCTTTTACCCCCCTTCTTCTCCTCCTTCCCCTCCCCTCGGAGGCCCCAAGTCAGGAGTTGCTACCGCTAGCGCGGCTCTGCGTGGCTCCAGTCCCGCGTTGCCTCAGGAAGGGAAAGGCAAAAAGGAAGAGCCGCGGCGGCGCTTTGCAACGGCAGCAGCGGCTCCTGGTTTTGCCTTTCCCTTCCCGAGGCAACGCGGGACTGGAGCCGCGCGGAGCCACGCCGGCGGTAGCAACTCCTGACAGCTCCAGCCGGATACCTGAGCGGAGGCCGGGCGGGCGGGCGGTGCGAGTGGAGCCCGGGCAAGCGGAGCCAGGGCGGGCGGGCAGTGCGAGCGGAGCCCGGGCGGGTGGGCGGTGCGAGCGGAGGCCACTGAGCGGCAGGAAAAGGGAGCTGGGCAGCGATTTCTTGGCGCGCGGTGGGGGGTCTCTTTTGGCCGGCCCCGATTTTTTTTTCAGAGGGGAATATCATGCCTGCTGGAGTCTTTACCAGGATCTTCAATTGGTCTTTATCTTAGTCCACTATTCCATCTTGTTTGAAGGCTTCCACCATTGTTCCACTGCCAAAGAAGTTCCCTATCAATAACCTCAATGATTACAGACCAGTGGCACTCACTCCTATCATCATGCTTTGAGAAATTGGTCTGCCGGCACATCATTTCTGATCTTCCACATACATTTGACAAACACCAGTTTGCATACAGAAGAAATACATCTATAGAGGACACTATAGCCATCACTCTTCACGCTGCTCTGACTCATCTAGAACAGCGGGGGGGGGGGGGGGGGGGGCTATGTGAGGATGCTTTTTGTAGATTTTAGTTCTGCATTTAACACAATTCTTCCACATAGACTAGTGTCTAAACTTCTGGACCTTGGACTTCCTTATTCAATCTGCCTTTGGATTATGGATTTCCTGTCTGGCTGCTCACAGAGGGTCAGATTAGGTAATCAAACCTCTTCAGCCCTTATTCTTAACACTGGTACACCACAGGGTTGCATGTTGAGTCCCTTACTCTATATTCTTTATGTGCATGACTGCATTTCGACTCATGCTAGTAATACTATTACTAAATTTGCAGATGATACAATAGTAGTGGGACTCATCTCTGGGTGGGTGGGTGTGAGTCTGCCTAGTGAGATGAGGTGGACCAGTTGTTTTCGTGGTGTGGAGACAATAACTTGATCCTCAATACCAATAACACCAAGGAACTTATAGTGGACTATAGAAGGAACAAATCTGACATCCAGCTCTTGCTTATCAATGGAGACCGAGTGGAGCAAGTGGCCAGTTTTAAGTTTCTGGGTGTTACCCTAAAAGAGGACCTGACCTGGGTGCTCACATTGCAGCACTGGTCAGAAGGGTCCAGCAGAGATTATATTACCTGAGACTTTTCAGAAAACAACTGAATGAAAAATTGCTGGTGACCTACTACTGCTGCACCATAGAGATTATCTTAACTTACTGCAACTGTGTATGGTTTGCCATTTGCACATTGGCAGATAGGACATCACTCCAGAGGGTTGCCCAGAAGATCATTGGTTGCCCTCTCCCCTCTTTGGAAGAGCTTTGTAGCTCCTGCTGCCTTAAGAAAGTTCAAAACATTCTCAAAGATCCATCTCATCCTGGACACCCTTTTTCTGAACTATTACCATCTGGCAGACAGTATAGGATAATAAAAACAAGGAGAAATAGGCTGAAAAACAGCTTCTATCCCAGGGCAGTAACTCTATTGAATTTTACTGTATAGTGTAATATTAATGTAGTATCAGTGGTTTTCAATTCAATGTATAGAATGTGAAGGATGTTTGTTTGTGTTTATTTTCATAGTCATAATGTACACTGAAGATGGTATTTAATTTTGTTGTACGAGGTGCAATGACAAATAAAATAAAACTAAGTAATGCTTTTGAATTTAAATCACATTGATTGCCAGTGGGTTTCTGGGCTCAATTCAAGATGTTGGCACTTAGTTATAAAAGCCATTCATAGCATGAGGCTAATATATCTTAGGCAATGCATTTCCCCAATTGTGTCTACTGATCACATCAGATTTGGGAGAAGAGACATGCTATGAGTCCTGTTATAAAGAATGTTATGTGGCAGGACTCAGGAGGAGAGCCTCTTCAGTTGTGGTTGGAACATCATCCCCCCAAAGATTTGATTAGCCCCAATCCTGTTAAATTTTCATAAAGCATTAAAGATTAATGAATTCTGTCGCTGGGCCTGGGGGATGAAGGTATGATGGGACCCATGGAATGTTTGTACTAATGGTTGTGATTTTTTTTAAAAAAATCTTGGCTGCCAGTTATGTATTGTATATATAGTGAGATTATTGTTATACTGTAGCTGCACAGAATCAAAATGTTGACATGGGTGGCCATGTAATTTGAAATAAATAATTTTACAAATGAGGTGCCTTATTTTTCAGGCCATTAATTTTAGTCTGTATTTATGTAATTTGTTTATGTCCTGACCCCATTCTTTTTATGTCTTCATTTATACTACATATATGGATATATATGTAATACATATATATGAATATAAGAATCACATGTACTAATGGAAAAATGTTTAGATTTTATGCCAAACCATGGTTATCAGTTTGCATAGAAGAATAAAAATCTGGAATCTGATAAAACTGAATCATAATTCATTCATCCATCCTGTCTAGTAAAAAAACAACAACAAGAGAAGGGGAGTGTTTGAGCCTTTGTCTTCCATAAGCACTGTCCTATTTGTGTATTTAATAGGGAATAGAAATTTAACATATAAAAGTTTGGGGGAACAGTTATCACAACTACATCATCATTTATAAAACTGTTTCTTTATTTCTAGAGTGTTCGTTGAGGATGTATGGATCCTGTCTAACTAGATTTGCTTTTAAAACGAGTGATGTTAATATTGATATAAAATTTCCCTCAACGGTAAGTTAAATATTTGTCACATTATTTAAAAAGCTTAGTTTTATATATTGAAATTGCAGCTCAATTGTTTTACCATACCAAGATATAGACCTGTTTAAGGAAACTTTTGTTTCAGCAAGGAGTTTTATGCCTCAGAGGCAGTTTTCGCTGTTGAGCTAGTTTCATTCTCTTTGTTGGACAAATTAAGCACTTTATGTCAATTTGAGGCTATGTCCAATGCCTCTAGTAGGTAGTGGGCATGTTAGAAGAGATTCTATGTATGTGAGAAGCCTTGTTCAGCTCCTATAACTTTTGAATGAGGCCTGGAAGCAAGACAAAACAAACCAATATGCTTATTTTGCTTAAATTGGAAAAAGTGGAAACAAGTTACAGTACTTCATGAAGTAACTTCAAAAGGATGTTTCATACATTATAGTCTTGGATCCCTTTGAAACTTTACTGAGCCCAATATGAAAATTATTTTGGATTTGGATTTGAGTTCAATTTACTTACTTCCCAATAACATCTGCAAAAATTTGGATCAGCATTAGATACAGAAAACTCTAGGGGTTCACTGTTGTCTATTTATCAGGAGTTTTGCAGCTTAGATGTGGTAACTAATCTAAATCTGCAAATCCTAAGAGTTGCTGAATATTCAGATCCTTTCACCTTGCTGTTAAGAAACCACATA